AAACACTCACAACTTAAGTTACCCTACCTAGGTGATCTAGAGCAGGCATGTCAAACTCAATCTAAGGATGCTGCAAAGGTGGTCACTCCTTCATCCGTGTGGGTTGCACTTTGACAGATATAAATGATAACTTGTAATTTTTATTAAATTGTTCAGTAGAAAACAGTACAATAAAAGACTTTCAAAAGTTCAATGGCATGTTAACAAGTGCAAAGTCTTGGCACTAATAGAGAATACCAAAATATCTGTGGTGTAACTTTAATGCATAGTAATGGCACTGAGGCATGGGCCATTGTTTCTTGTTGGTTCGGGGTATTGTCACAGGAAATATGATAAAGAAATGTCAGCAGGCTATTCTATAAGGAGTACAAAGTGTTCTCTATTATGGCACACATTATAGTTATTACTAAGGGTGGACAGAGGGGAGGATAAGAGAACATACAGAGGGGTATTTATCAAAACTGGAGCATGCAAAATTTGGAGCAGCTGTGCATGGCAACCAATCATAGTCTCTCTTCCATTTTCATATCTGAACAAACTGAAGAGAGAAGCTGATTGGTTGCCATGGGCAGCTGCTCCAGATTTTGTCTGCTCCAGTTTTGATGAATTCCGCTCACAGTGTTTAAAAATAGTAGAGTAGGAACTAAGAATGAAGCGAGTGGAAGATGTCTCTCCCTAGCCCTCAACCGTGATCAGACCAAAGGGAAATATCTTGCAGAGACCATGTTTTGGGACTCTTGAGCATAGTGGTGCTCTGTCCATGCGATCATGAATTGGTTCATCCTGTCATATTCAGCTGCCAAAAGGTGTTCAAGATCCACAATAGAGTCCATTTTAGTCGCCCATTCTGCTAAAGTAGGCGTATGATTTTATGAAGTCTGTTATCACAGATAGTAAAGTCATTTTAGGATCATTAGATATATTTGTCCCCATCACTTTGGATTAAATTGTTAAAATACTTTCTCAAACATTTTAATGAGGGGCAGGCCCACCAAATGTGGGTCATATTACCAATGGGTCCCTGACAATGCCAACAATTGTTGGGGAGGAAAAGATAAAAGTGATAGAGGACATCTGGACATCTATACATTCGAGTGAGAGGATTTTGAAGTTCTTCTCTTGGGCTTTACTAGCAATAGACAATTTATAAGAAAGTATGAAAGCTTTCTGCCAGCCCTCCAGTTCAGCTTTAGTATTCAGCTCTTTCTCCCAAGCAGCTGTATAAGTGGGAATGGTAGCATATGAGAAGGAGGATAGAATGAAGTAAACTTAGAAGACTCATTATATTGGGGGAAATCTTGTAAGAGTAAAATCTTGAAGAGCATCTAGAATGACTTTAAGAGACTTTAACTCCACTTTACTGTGGATAGAGTTGACAAATGGAGTAAATTATCAGTATTAAAGTCACTGACCTGCAATAGAGGATGGTAAAGGATCCAAAGTCGCCTTAGCTGGAGGGCTGGATTGTCAAAAAATAATGTCATAGGACTGATGTAAGCTGAAACCTGGAGCTTGGAGATGGTTCTATCGCAGGTAAATGGTTTGTTTTGTACGATCAGGGAGAGACTGAATCTTCTTACACCGTTGAGGTTCTGTCTATGGCAAAGTGTGTAGATTAGGGGGGGGGGGTGCAAGGTACCATTTTTGATCTGGACCCAGATTTTGGAAAAGAGGTAATACAATCGATTTATAATTCTTTTGAAATAAATAAAGTATTTCAGTTAAGTCTGGGAGGAGCATAAACATTATTGTAGTAAACAAGCGCCAGCCCTCCCCTTCCTTTGGGCAAACGCTTATGACTGAAGCAGCTGGCTGGGTGGGAGTGGAGGTGGGGGGGGGTGAGAAGTGACAGGTTTCATTATCGGTAAAGTAAATCTGTACTTTTAAAGGGTATGGTGTCTCCATTCACAATGATCCGGCTCTCTCTCATTGAATGTAGAAGTGTGGAGGGTGATCTCAGCTGTAGCATAAAGCCCGTACAGTAAGACCTGTTATTTCAAAGAAATACCATTTATTTTATATGTTTTATAACAAAATACGGGCAATAGGTTGTTTAAAAAAAATGTTGGTCTTTTTTTTCTTAATAAAAAAATAAGAAAATCAGCGGTTACTAAATATCATCTAAAGAAAGCTCTGTCTAAAAAAATAAATAAAATTCATTTGGATACATTATTGCATGACTAAATAATTGTCAGTCAAACTATCAAATCTGATAACTAAAAAATGGGCTGTTGTTAAAGGAGAACTATGGGGTCAGTGTTTTTCCCAATAGTTCTCCTTAGGGTAACGGGAGGACACAAACTAGCGTCCTCCCGTTACCCTAAGCTCAGTATACCGCAAGCTACAGCTCGCGGTACACTGAGACGCCGCAGCCGGACCGGATCCCGACTTAGATGACGGGATCCGCCCAGCTGCGTGAGTGACAGCTGGCTCTGCCTATCTAGAGGCAGAGCCAGCTGTACCCGCCCCCTCCCCTGTCCGTTCCGCCAGTCAGCGCTGGCAGATCGGAGCGGGGAGAGGGGAATCCAGCCCTCCCCCTGTCACTGCAGAGAGCCGTGACAGGATCGAGAGGTGAGCGAACCTGCTATGTGTTCGCTCACCTCCCGATCGACTGAGCCGACCTGTGACAGTCTCATTGTCACAGGTCGGCTAGAACTATGAGGTGAGTGAAAAGCACTCACCTCATAGTTCTCCTTTAAAGGGGCCGACTTGTATTCAGGTGGTTAAAGCTGGCCATACACTGGTGAGATATTGGCTGTCAGGAATCAGCTTAAATTTTAACAGCATGTTGTCCTGCCGGCTCAACAAAAGTTGATTGCTCAATCAACTCTTGTCGAAGGAGCACGGCTGAAAATTGTCGGCTGAACAGCTCTGCAACCAGTCATCTGCAGTCACTGTTCAGGTATTCGGACAGTGGCCGACACTGTTGTCAGAATACAATATCCCGGCTGAGGAGATTTGTCCTTTCTTACATCCAACCCACCTGCTGAACAAAAGAGATCTATTAGTGTATAACCAGCATTTGTTGCTGCTGAAGCAGTGTGTGATGCTGAGACTGGGGCAGTTTGTATTGCTGAGGAAGACAGAGCTGTGCAACTAATAGTCAAGAGGTTGGAAAAAAATTTCTTGCACTGCTATAGTCCCTGCATGAAAAAAATCTTCCTGTTATCTGCATTCAGTGATGAATAACAGTGGGCTAGAAGCTCTAAACCAGCTAAACCAGGGTTTCGCAACCTGTGAAACCTCAGGACTCACATTTGTCCTTGGTCATTAAGTCGCGACCCAAGTCGCACTGCAATGGAATGCACAGCGTTGTGGTACCGCGCATTCCGGAGCGGGCAGTCGAACTGTGGGTGGGAGGTGCATTTGGGGTACCCTTCAAATGAATGGCAACGCAACACTCCTCCCACACCAGAACGAGTAGTGGATGTGATTGTGCAATTAGTGTGAATGGGCCCCCAAAAACATGGACATACAATTTTAAAATATATATTTTTAGGTTCCACCCATTTTCCTGACCTTACAAGAACTGGAGTGGATCCTCAGCCTGGAGTCCAGTGTGGGCTGCTGTGCTGCGACGGAGCTCCATCCGTATGTGCATTGCTTGTACAACTCCCTTGCACACCCTGTAGAGGTGTCGGAAGCCAGAATGTGATGCCACTCTGGTCCAGATATCTCTACAGGACACATGAGGGAGCTGTAAGCAATGCACATATGGATGGAGCTCCCTCGTGGCCCTAGCCCCATCCTATCCCACCTCAAGCTGACACTCAGTTCTGGGCAGCATATTCTGAATGGCTGCTTGGTGTGAGAACTGACAGTGCTGAGCTACGGGGAGACTGAGGCGACCCACTGAACACGAAGTCGCGACCCACTTTTGGGTCACGACCCACCAGTTGAGATCCAAGGCTCTAAACTGTACCTGGATAAGTCGACTGAATCCTTAAAGTGACACTAAACTCAGGAGTTGAATCTTAAAAATGCATTCAAGTACCCACCTATTGAAGGTTGTGCTGTGACAGCTGCCTGACTCAGAGCTTTGGGTGAAAATAACTTTGTTACTTTAGCACCTAGACAAAAACGATGCAATGTGAGGGACAAGGCAATTCCAGTGTGCATTGCTTGCCAAATTGAAGTCATTTTGTCCTTTCAAAGCAGGAAGTGAATGCTCCTCAAGTGTAAGTATTTCACAATCACTGCATTTTACTCCTGACATGTCTATGTTATTAATAATCATCATACATAGAGGGATGCATTGGTAGAATTTGATTTTTGAGTGTAAAGGTCCGCTTTTAAAGAGACAACCCTCCGGAGGTGTTTGTCATAATATGCACAGCTGACGCTTTTCCTCCACTTTAATTCTGATCACAGCATATTAGCACATTATGGATAACATACCTTGTAGGCAATCCCCTTCATCACCAATGCTTCCATTTTCACTCAGTCCTCTTCCAGGTTCACTGTCTTTGTCCTCTTGATTGGCCAGGCCAGCACGATGTAACTCCCGCACACATGAGTGACTTTATTTCGGCACAGGACCTTGCTGGCAGGCAGGTAGAAGCTGTTTTGGCAAAGGAGATTTATACAGACTCTTCTGTCAGAAAAAAAAAACTGCCTGTCAGCAATTTTTAACAAGAAGACTTTAATTCCACTTTAAGGGTTTCCCCTTTCTGCAGAAGAGTGTTTGGTTAATGCTGAAGGTACTCGGGCGCCATGTGATGCTGTTCTTAGGTTGTCTTAAACTTTCAGTCTTTCTTTCGGGAAAGGTGAATGGGAATTCAGCCAAAGTGTGAGTCTATTCACCACTGTCTATCCCAACCTGCATTATATGTTCATACTGACTGGTGGATGATAAGAAGAGGCAAGAACAGACATAGTAATATTCATTATGATGTTGTGTGTTGATAATACGATTGGATATGCTACTTTTTCATAAAAAGTAATTTTTTTGTTTCTTGTGTTGTGCCAACATTTTGTAATGTGTTTGCTTATATTCTTAGGTGGCGATGCTAATGCTGCAGCAACAGGACAAGACAGTTATGATGATAACCAAAGCCTGAGCCATGGGACTTCCTTGGCATCTGATGAAGTCTCACTTGCATCGGACTATGTGGATGATGGTAAGTGCCAAGGTTTTATCTTTGGTGGTGAGATAAGTCTGTTTTGTTAGTGGTTCTTTTTCTCTTGTTTAATTACAGTTCATGTTAACATATGTAATAGAAACTTTCAAACTATTTCACTAAATCCTTCTTATACAAAGCACAACTTAATCTGGCCTTACAGTTCTCAAATTTTGGCACAATTCCATCTACAGGTGGCCCTGTTGGCACAGCAAAAGTTGATCTTTCAATCAAAAGATCATCTAAAATTCAGCCAATCAGCAGCAGTCACTACTCTGGTATTCTGACAGCTCTGGGTGCCAGCTGTCAGAATACAATAGCCACCAGGACAGATTCCCCTTAGTGTGGATAGGGAAGTTAAGCGTTTTTTGTACAGCCAGCTTTAAAGCAGAGCTGACATGAGCAGATATGCTAACGAGGGGACACTGCAAAATTGTTTACATGTACATGTATTTACATTTGTTAATAGCAACTATAGATATGATATACCATATGTGAAGGACTGCCTACTACCCTGACTGGGTACCTTCGTCAGAAATTAGCTTCCTCTCCACTGGTGTCTTAATGAAAGAATAGGGAGAGAGGAGACACATGTGATGGGATTATGTCTAACATATGTTAAGTCACTCAGCTACATCTAGTGACAAGTTAATCCCATTGTTATCCCAATCACACAAATGGCCCAATAGACTTGACTAACAGGTCCAGGACAGGATACTGGGGTATAGGAAAACACAGTCTCCGCTCCCCATGTATCCACCACATCATTGGAAAATAGGTCTCTGGGGTCCTATTTATCCATGGAGTGTAAATAAAGGGTCCCCCAAAGCACCATGGCAAGTCCCTCTCCCAATGAATAGAACCCCCTCCACCGCCGAGGGCCATCGTCAATGGGAAGGAGGCAGGCCTGCAGTCCCCTCTAAATAACAGAGTAATGGAGGCTTCCGTCGCACCATAAATAGCATAATTTTGCATGAGTAATAGATTTCCTAAGGGCCACTTTACACTCCTCAGTTCTGGTGTGTGGTGGTAATGCATGGGCTATCATAATGCATGCTAATGCACATTGCATGCGTTAGCACATTGTGAACAACACACCAAGGCAATGCATCCCTGACACACTTATGTTGCATGCCAACTGTGTAACCGCACTACTGTGGGTGCTGGTGAACTATGTCAGAAAAAATGTTGCATGTCTGTGTCTTTGTCCATTCCTGTGAATTGGCAGCCCATTCATTTGAACGGGATGTTTTGACACAACACACTTGAACCTTCTAAACAGCTTGCAATAATAACACAGTGAGGATGGGCCATGTCCTTTATCATTTTAAACACTTATGCAAAGTCATGAGTGGATGAAATAAGCCATTGGTCAGGCAAACATATCACCATTGTTTAATGTTGAACTCGAGTCAAACAGATAAATACATAGTTGAAATACTTACTGTATATCGGAGCTGTTTTGCCTGGCATAGGATTTGTAGGTTTGTCCAGTGGATCTTCCATAGGAGACACTACAGCCAACCAAGTGCCCTCTTCTCTTCTGTAAGTAAGCTATAAAACTTGGTTGGCTTCCTGCCCCCCATCTTAATTCGGAAGTGACAGAGCAGCAGCAGGCCATCTCTCTGTCACTTTGCTCTTTTTTCCTACCAGGATGTTCATTGGCAGTACATTAATATGCAGAACTATTGATTGGTTGCTATTTCTGACTCTCGCTCCCCAAGTCAGAGTGCTGCTGTACTGGGGTTACTAGAGGCTGATACCAGGTCAAATTCAAGTACTTATAATAGTCACATTAAAAAAATGTCTTTATTATTAATGAATACGTATCAATATTTTTGGTATTTTGCCCCGAGTTCAGCTTTAAAGAAAAGGCCAGAGCCAGGGTGTCGTGCCACTTTCCAGAAGCTTTTAATACTAACTTGTATTTGGCAAACCAGATATGACAGCAGACAACAGAAATGTTTCAGTGATCATATACAGTACAAAGCGTATAAGGCCCATTCACACTATGCATTATAATAAGCCACGCATATGAACATATGGGTTGAAGCGCATTGCATTAGGCCGGGTTCACACCTGGGGTGGCATCGTTTTTGCACGTTTGTACGCACGTGTTCAGCATGCGGTTCTTTGCACACTATGCACGTACAGGAAGATGTTTGCTTTGCCTGGTAGCTTCAGAAACATTGCGGGCAATGTACAATTGTGCAAAAACGTGCACGAAAATGTGCAACACGTTTCTGCCGTATGTTCTCGGGCCTGATTAATATGAAATGGTTTGGGTCTATTAAAGCGATATTAAAATCCAAATGTTTTTAAAGTGTATTTCAACTTTTGCAGCCAAATTGGGAAACAGCTATTCTATAGTTGTTACATGTTCCCAGTCACATCGCATTGGCTAAAAAAAAAAATGCTTCTTCCAGTTTAAATAGTTTTTCTTGTGTTAGGGTTTTCTGGATTCTTAAGGGTTAAAAATCTACCTTCTCCTTTTTTGTAATGTTGGGAGGGTCCATGAGGGGTTAAATGATTATCCAGCTTGAAAAAGCTTGCGCTTCGAACCGCGTTGCCTAGAGAAGTCACTTTGCACACCACCCATTGTATTGATCCACCGTCTTCCCCCCACCAGACGCAGACACCTTGCCTGCACAGCCCCAAGGTGCCATCCAAGCCTATGCCCAGATCTTGATCCACTGACCGCTGACACCCAACAGCAGCTTCTCTGCCTCCGCCGCCTCGACCACTCTCACTTAGTTACCTGGACACGCGGACGCTCTCACTCTGACATCCATCGGCCGTCCCCCCTCTGCACAGCGCTCCACTCCTCCTCCAGCCACGTTGCCAAGACACCAGGATGCCAGCTCACACCACCTGTGTTTACACAGGACGAACTTCTGTCTCTTTCCCCTCTCTCCTCTCCAACCCAGCAAAAAACATTATACTGGACAACAGGTCCCTAGCCAGCCCAGGACTTCCATAATCAGGACCATCTATCCGAACCCCCATACATCAAGTCTGCATTAGAATCTCATAATCAAGAACATTCATTGGAACCCCCACACAGCATCTCTCCAAGATTGATCCACATAGGAACAACTTCAAACAGCAACCTCAGGAACCAGAATGTGCTTCGCCACCACGCCTCTAATCCGCCACAGGATTTTTTTCGACAATGATAGAGCCACACACTTAATTTTCATGGTCAGTAAAGAATACACATCCAGTTATACATATATGCAGAAATTCAGAACAATTGTTTCCTTCCCACATCGGTTTCCAACCGGGATTCCGCGCAAGGATCGAGACAGTCCACCGACCCCTGTGACTTGCTTCCACCCAAATGGCAGGACCCCGCGACCACATCACCACAAGTGTCTCATCACTGAAAAACATCAACCCTAACAGAAGAGTTCGCCACCATTGTGCCCTCTCTTTCCATCACATGTGAGTGCCAAACATCGCCTTTTTCTATCCAACATTTATTTACCTTGATTCATTGTTTGTCCCTGATCCTTTTTTCCTTTTCTGTTCAGCTTAAAGGATTAAGAGCCTGGCTTCTGCATTGTATGTTAATGAAGTTAATGTGAGAAACACAATTTCTCAAATTTCTTTCCTAAGTCTTTCTAGAAGGGACAGGTAACTGAATGTGCTCAGAAAAACCTGTAATGTTGTCTGCTGCAACAAAACATCTATAAAGTAAGAAATATATTTTACAAAATAATTTTTTGTTATGCTGTGTGAATGAGAACACATAACAAACTTATAGAAGGGTTTTCTCAAATTTGACAGGAAAAGTGGAAATACACTTTAAGCTGTTTCAAATGCTGATTAAATCAGTGGATCCTGCTCTTTGGTTTTTAAAACATTGTTTTGTGCAGAATCAGCTGGTCCCCTGAGCACTGGCCCTGATATCCTGTCTTAAGGTGGCTCCTTTCCCTTACAGAGTCCTATGGAGCCACCCTTGTGTATGCTAGTAAGCTGTGTGTGTCTCCACAAAAACACAGCAAGGCAAGCTATTTCCCTACTTCCTTCTCCCCGCTCCTCCCTTCTCCATGCTGCTAGATGGAGAGCTGCTGGAGACTGCTCTGTCCTTTGTGATCTTGTACGGAACAGGAAGTTCAGGGAAGCCGAGCTGAGAGAGTTGGAGCTGTTTGGAAACCTAATGGCTGTAAGTGCTTTGGCAAAAATGTAAAGAAATACTTTGCTGGGCAATGCAAATGTTTATGATTTGGATTTATTATTAAAAAAGTACGCGAGTTCAATACACCTATTCCTCACTTAACAACCTACCTGTTTAATGACCGCTTGGACTTACAACCAGCTCTCCGACCAGTTGGTATTGTACACTGTACGAGAACTTGGGTCAAGCTCATCTTACATCACCCTTTCTCAGTCTATGTCTCGTTCCCGCAGTTGGTCAGTCAGTCAGTATTCACTACTGTACTGTACATTGGTATTTGCAGTATGCAAACCTAAGTCATGCCCTGTATATTAGAGCTGATTTCCTCTATTCCTCACTTAGTGACCAATTCGCTTAACGACCTAGTCGTAGAAACGGAACTCAGTCATTAAGTGAGGAATGTCTGTACTTCTGTAATGGAACAACGAGGATAATTGTTTTGAGGCTGCGTCTGACCTGCCTTGCGTTATTCTGGATGCAGCATGTCCTAACGGAGATTCATTTGCGTTTGCCCATGTACACAAAACTAAAGCTGATTATTATGGCAAACAGCTACATCTTTGTTGTACAAACATGTCCAAGTTGCTCTGTCATTTAGTATACTGTAACACCTAATCCCCAACACACCATATGACACATTGCACAGTGCATGCTGTGTTACATATGCTTGGAGTAGAGGTTGCCCTTTAAATGTCATCCAAGTGTGGGTTTATTTTTATTTTGAGTTTATTTATTATTATTAATGTGCTTTTTCTCTATCTTCCCTTCCCCTTAGCTATTTTTTTCTTTTCAATAGCTAAATAAAGACACATCTTACTTT